CGAAGACGTCACCGCGGGCCCGCCCCGCCCCGGCCCCGCCCCCGGCCCCGCCCCCGGCCCGCAGAGACATCAGCTGAGCCGTTTCCGCAGCCTGGCTGGGTCCCGCGCCTGCTGGAGGAGGACATGCGTCTGGATCTCCCCTGATTGTAGCGCGCCGGTCACGCGTGTGGCCGCTGAAGCAGCAGCTCGAGTAGGGCTGAGAAAAGGCTTTGTCGCTCCACAGCGGCCCCACGACCCATCTTCTGCGGCCGGCCGCTGGGCTTCGGTTAGTTGGGTGCAGCCCACTCGGGGCTCCGGTTTAGCTCTTGGGAACTAGCAGCACCGACTGTGTGCACCACGCTCCTTAAGGGAGCGGAGGCTGCGTGTCCTCCAATTTGCCCCCTTGGTTTCCACTGAGGCGCTTTGCGCGTAGTAGGTGGTTCAATGACTGTAGAAATCGCGTGAGGAGTGGGCCTTAGGTGGGGGAAGAAGATGCCCAAGTGCTGGCTAGCTTTCATGGTTCCTTAAAATGCCTGCTTTCTAGATCCCCAATCAGCAGAACCCGTTGGACATTCCCAGTCTTTGGCAGCGTGGTCGCAGACCCACTCTTGGACTACTGGAGAACTCTACTTTCGCCTCGATTTCGATTGCCCTGCAAGCCGTACCTTTCAGTCTGGGCACAGGCAGCCTTTCTGAAATTCCTTTCTCAGTTTGCCACAGACTTGCGGACCTGGATTATTAATGCACACCCATCCAGGATTTTGTGAGGATCTTGCCTCCTAGACCTAAAGACATGTAATTTCCCCTCCTACTTTAGCATCTGAGGAGAATATAAGATAGGAATTAATTTGAATTTCTTCTCGTCAGTGGGTCAGTGCCAGTCACATCTAATATATGTTTAACAAGTGCTTGTTGGGTTGAACTGAATTTATGGGTTGCTCAGTGAAGCACGGGCAGGTGTTATGCCTATTCTGGAATCCCAGTGGGCTTGAATTGCTTATGGACTGGAGGTGAGCTGAGCTGGAAACCAGAAAACCTTCACTTATTCATTCACTCATTCAACAAATATTTATTGTGCCACCATGTGCCAGCACTGTTTCACACCTTAGTTCAAATCTCAATTCTGTGATTTTTTGAGGATTTGGCTTCAACAATTCTGATAACCCTTCAATCATTTTCTCATCTATAAAGGGAGACATATTTATTTTAACTAACTAAAGGGGTTATTGTGAAAATCAATAACAAGATAATACAACTGAATACTTTGTATAATGCAGCTGGATGCTATCTGGGCCACCAAGAACCTGGGTCTGAACAGATCTCCATGGCCTGCCCCATCCTGACCCACAAAATGAATAACAAAAACAGACTTTGGGGACCAGGTATGAGTGAGTGCATGACTTTGCTTTAGTCTTCAGTCATAAACTTGCTTTCTCAAGAAAGTTTTATAAGGAAGGCCAAAGAGTACATTTAAAGGAGTCCAAATATAATTACAGAACTAATGGTCACCAAGTCAGGTCAATTCTATATCTTTAGCTCTTTTATCAGCCTTGTTCTCTCCATCCCTGCTGTCACTACCCTATTTCACTTGCCATCTCTTTCCCATGACTGAAAGAGCCTCCTCACAGGTCTCCTGCTCCTTTGTATCTCCATACTGTCACACAAGTCTTGATGATGCCCCTCTCTTGAGATTAAAATCCTTTAGTGTTTTACTATCACCCAAGATAAAATCTAAGTGCCTTTATGGTGCTTTGTCTCCCACGGATTTGTCACCTCTCTTTCTCCCGGGTGATGGAGCTGCAAAAGGATTTCTCAAAGCCCATTTCTTCCGAGCAGTGAGAGAGCCCAAAGGGGTTAATTTCCCAGGACACTCAAGAGGGAGGCATTCCTTCCTTGGAAAATTAACCATGAATTGGGGTTCTCTCCCCATATTTATTTTCCAGACCAGGAAGTTACAAAAAAAAGAACATAAGTGTGGTAATAGTTTAACAATAGAAGCTGGTAACAAGCAAAATGACATTCCATAATGCAATTTGCAAAAGGTTAAGTCAATCCACCAACAAAAGGTTGATCTTAGCAAACATTCTCTTTCCCTACAGCAGCTTCCCAGTATCTTTACATATCAATCAAGTAACTTGTCTGTCCTTGAGCCAGCAACCTTGTTGTGTTACAATTCTTTATCTTACAACAGAGACTTTTGGCCTGGGGAAAGTTTCCTATCTTTTGCAAGGTTAACATTTTTATATGTACTTTTAAGAAGTTAGGCTATACCTGAAACTACAGGGAACTAGACTCTGTGAAATATATTTGCTTTATAAATGTAAGTATACTCCACACATTTAAGTGGGTCCCCAACTTTGTGCCAGCCCATCTGTTGCCACTTCTTTCACATATCCTAAGCTACTGCCTTAAGGTGATTCTTTTTTTTTTCAAAAGATGACCGGTAAGGGGATCTTAACCCTTGACTTGGTGTTGTCAGCACCACGCTCAGCCAGTGAGCAAACTGGCCATCCCTATATGGGATCCGAACCCGTGGCCTTGGTGTTATCAGCACCACAGTCTCCCGAGTAAGCCACAGGCCGGCCTCCCTTAAGGTGATTCTTAATATTTCCTGGGTAAGGTTCTCTCATGCCCAGAAATCTTTGAGATCTTTTCCACTTGTCTAGAATGCTGGTTCCCTCATCTCTAGTTAGATGGACAAACATTACTCATCCTTCACATTCCAAAGTATTTTCCCTGAGAACCTTCTGTGCCTCCCCTAGACAGGCCTCCCTTCTCTTAACTTCCATACCCCTTTGAATATACCCATGCATACTGGTATGATAGCAAGGACTTGTTTGCATATCTAGTTCCTCATTAGATTGTGAGCTCCTTAAGGGTGAGGCTATGTCTCTTCACTGGTGGTATCACCTGGCACAGCACTTGGAATGCTGAGAGTCAGATTAATTTGGATAGGATTTCTTTTAAAAAAAATTTTTTTTTATAAAGATGACCGGTAAGGGGATTTTAACCCTTGACTTGGTGTTGCCAGCACCACGCTCTCCCAAGTGAGCCACAGGCTGGCCATCCCTATGTAGGGATCCCAACCTGTGGCCCTGGTGTTATCAGCACCACACTGTCCCAGGTGAGCCACGGGCCGGCCCCTTGGATAGGATTTCTAAACTTACTAGTTGTGTGACCTTGGGCATGTTACTTAACCTCTCTGTGCCTCATGTTCCCATATCTGGAAAACAGTGCTAATGATATCCTCTGAGCAGAATTACTGTAAAGACTAAATAGCAAGATACTTGTGAGGCTCCTTGCATGTAGTCGGCACTCAGGATGGATCTCATGGCTATAGAGTGTCCTCCATAAATATTTCTTGAATAAACTGTAGAACTAAGGAAGAGCACTCACTATTATATTATACGCTTTCTAGGTGCCAAGCACTGTGCTAGAAAGGGCTGCAGTTTTCGTGCGTCTAAATGGGAGTCTTTTTTTTTTTTTTTTTTTTTTAAAAGATGACCGGTAAGGGGATCTCAACCCTTGACTTGGTGTTGTCAGCACCAGGCTCAGCCAGTGAGCCAACCTGCCATCCCCATATAGGATCCCAACCCGTGGCCTTGGTGTTATCAGCACCGCACTCTCCCGAGTGAGCCAC